GACTGCTTTCAGAATACATGTGTATTTGAAAGAAAAACAGGAAAATTGAAGATGGATTTTTTTATCAACTAGGAATATAATAATAGAATGCAAATATACCACCAGTAACATTTTTTTTAAGCCTCATCTTCTCGGTATATTAAGCTACAGTTGGCAAAAAAAAGACATTTTTAAGACATTTTTTCTTTTGAGAGGAAATCTCGATCAAGAATTGTAAAAAATAAAACTAGTATATTGTGAGTAGGTAGTTTATTGTACCTTATCCAACCAAACGCACCATCATCTTCATTCGCTTTTTGGATTTCGAATTAAAGATATTTGTTCATCGCATATGGATTTTCCCCTCCAAGAATAAAAAAGCCATAGAAAATTCACTAACCATTTGTACAATGAAGTTAACCCTTCACCAACATACACCCCTTCTTTGTCTCCTACACAATGCTAGGAAGCTAAGCTGGCTGAAATATCTGCCTTTAGGTCTTCATTTTTTTGTTGACACTTTTGAACCTCACTAGCCTGGTGCAGTTCCTCTGCAAGCTTGTTCTCCAACTCCTCGATATTGACTTCACCCTTCAAAATGGTAATGCTCTGTAAACTGATGGTAAGATCTCGTGCGCGGACATGCTCTTCAGATGGAGGGTCGTCTACGGGCTGAATTTGTTTTAGTTTCGCAAGCATCTCGCCCAGCGAGATGGAGAGACTAAACTTCTCGAGTTGGACCGGCACCCCAACTGCCTCGCCAGCGTCTAGCGCTTTTTTCACATCAATCCAAGAGCCCTCCTCACCGGGCGGTCTCGGTGGCTCCCTCCACGCGCGCTCCTCCACAAGGTTTTCCAAAAAGGACACCCGCGTGGACTCGGTCACGCGAACGTTGTCGGGCGCGTTGACCAAGACTGGGTGGCCAGCCTTTACCAACTCGGCGGCCTCCGTGCTCAACTTGGGCAGGGGAACGGTGGGCCGCACAGGCGTGGGCAGGGGAGGTTGGGATTGTAAAGGGGAACTAGACTGGGAATCCACCGCCGGGGAAGCAGCCGAGGGGCTTGAGGGCGGCACTTCCACCTCGGAGATATCCACCTTCCGCGGATCCGCATCGCGGTTCACCACGGTGTTGGAAGACAAGGTAGCATCCTCGTGAATGGTCCCATGGTCGTCCTTTTTAGCGAGATCGCTCGTTCTTATGGTTTTATTGGGGATTTTTGAAAAATCGATAGTCCCAGCGGCGGTGATGCCATCGACGCTGTCTCCAGTGAGGCCATCCAAGTCATCCAAGGCAGTTCGAAGCTCGTCCACGGTGTGCTGAAGGTCCTCCTCGTGATCGTGGAAGTTGTGAACCATGTACTGCCAGAACTTGAGCTGCTCAGTGAGTTGGACAATACGTCTTTCCTGCATCCCCTGTCGTCGGTCGGAATCCGAGGTGACTCGCCGCATCACGGTGTTCGCCTCATCCTCCGCTCGCTCCAACAACAAGCGACGGCTGCAGGCCGCCTCGAACTCAACCAATTCCTTCGCGTAGAGCTCGATTTCCTCATCAGTTAACCCCCTCGCACGACCACGCCAGCGCTGGCCGATCACGTTCGGATTTACTGAGCTGGTCCAGCTCTTCACACGCCCCCACGCGCGTCGAATCCATCCTCCCTGACGAAGCGCCTGGACGGTGCCCGAGACGAAGCGGGTGTTCGCATTAAGCTCGGGGAAGGTGCCCTGAAGCATGCCCGCGCGGATACTACAGCCGATAGCCACGGCATAGTCTGCCGGGCAGGTTTCCTCCTTGGCGATAGGGCGCCCGAGGTATTCCATTAACAGATGCCGAATCGGCGGATCGCGCGTCATGGCGCCGACCAAAAGAATGCTGTCGATATCTTCCGGGAGGAATCCCGTATGCGCGAAGAGCTTGTTCACGCATTCCAGGCAGCGCCCCCGCAAAGGGCGAGTCAGGGCGATGTACTCGGTGTGCGTTAAGGTCGCCTCCAGCGGGAGGATATCCCGCAGCTGCTCAGAGAAGTGAAAAGCGCGGTTGTAGCCGTAGTAGGTCTCCTCTGAGTGCGTAAAATGTACCTTAGCCTTTTCGGCCTCGAGGAGGAGGTTGCGGTAGGTGGAGACCTCCTGCCCCACATTCCCGCCCTCCACCTCGATGGAGACCCGCCACTTTTTCTCGAACATCTTCGCGAAGTGCTGCGAAATCACGTCATCCCAGTCGTTGCCGCCAAGCATCGGATCGCCGTGGGTGGCTAAAAGCGTGAACTTATTTTGGTACGTGTCGTGCGCCATAATCGCACAGTCCAGCGTCCCTCCACCGAGGTCAAACACGAGGGAATGTAAAATCCGTTTATCCGCCAATTTATTCAGGCCCTTCGGCTCCTCATGGAGCCGACCTAGGACGGTGTGGGTCAGGCAGGCGGCCGAGGGTTCGTCGATAATTTCCAAAACATCAAAGCCGGCGCAGAGGGCCGCGTCCTCCGTGGCGACCTTCTGTTGGGGCGTGAAATACGCCGGGACGCTGACCACGGCGATGTTCACCGTCTCCTTCAGGTACTTCTCGGCCTCATTTTTGAGATAACGCAGGAACATTGCAATAATGTGCACCACGGTATACGAACGACCCATGATTTCGATTGTTATATCACCTTTTTCGTTGGTGGACAGAATATTAGTCTTGCTCATTTCGGAGCGCACCCGCCCGAGTTCGCCAAATCGGCGCCCAATCAGACGCTTTCCACTACAAAGCGTGGCACTCGCGCTCGCCCGGACGCAGGCCCTGGCCTCCTCGCCATACATCCGCACCTGATGGTTTTTGTCAAAGGTCACCGCCGTCGGGAAGACCCAGGAGCCGGTAGGAGAGGGAATAATCTTCGGCTTCAAGGTTTTATCATCGATGTAGGCGATACAGCTGTTGGTGGTGCCGAGGTCAATGCCAATCACGCGGCCTTTTCGCATCGCATCCGTCTCCTCACGCACCACGTAGTATTGCTTTCGCAGCGTCTCCTCCATCTTGCGGCGCCGATCGGCCTCGATCTCCATGGAATTTTGTAGGTGAAGAGAGACCCCGGGGCGTGGGGGGATCATCCGCGGAGGCCCCCCCATCCCATTTCCGCCCGGCGATCCATATGGAGACGGGATGTGCATCTGCAGGAGGGAAAAGGTGGCGGAAATCGGTAAGCGACCGCGCATGGTAAGCGTGGAAACGTACATAGGCACGTGTGGTTTAGTAATAAGATCGTGGAGGAATTGTATGAAGGGGGAAGGAAAGAGGAACGGGGGGGAGGGGAAAAAAGGGAGACTAACCCCCCTCTAAGAAAGAAAAAGAAGTAGGTACCTATATCGATATATCAATCCTAAATACTATTCATGGGGCTCATCAAACTACAAGAAGGAGACAATTTAAAAAAATGGACAACACTACATCCAGAACATTAAAGAGTCTTTGTCATCACTTTCAATATTATTAGCATTTTCCATGATCGATCAGATGTATAGGAAAAAAGTAGAGGGTTAGGGTTTATTTTCGGCTTCGTCAATCCGAGTCACTTTGGGTTAGGCTGTGGAACATTTTTGTTAGACGTCTGATGTGGCTTGCATCGATCGCTGTGCAGGAATTTAGTGCCGGAAGGGCCTGTTTCTCAACTAAGTCATACAAGAACTCGATCCGTCCCGCAGCCATCTCCTCAATTATAAACTCTACCAATCGAACGGAGATAGTTAAAAATCCAATGCTTAGAAAACAACGAAGCATACGAGGGATGGCGTCACAATAGAAGTCAAAGTGCCCATACTTAAACCGCCTGAGGGGTGATTTCGAAGCCCTCGAAACCCGCCCACTCACGCCATTGCTGTGCGCATGCCCAATCCCTGATGGCGTTATACACCCCCCATCCCCGGAAGACGTGGACAGGGCCTCGGCAGGTTTACGCGAAGATCTATCATCGCCACTGCAAAACGCATCCGTGAGATCGTCCTCAGGCTTCGAGGACAGCGCCAAGGGGGCCAATAATTCGTAGCGCCGCCGCCAGCTACGATGGCGGTCCAACATCCCTCGCTTTTCATCGTGCACTTTCCACCCCAGAAAGCGAAGGAAGACGATATAGCTATAATAAATCCGGTCTATCATACCAGGCTCGCGAAGATGCGCCAAATCAACGTCGGTGATATGGGCGGCCGTGCACACGTCAGCCGACCTCAAAAGGGGGGGTGAGGGGTTGGTCGAAACGTGAAGGGCGGGTACCGGACTTGTCTCGGGGTCCTTTTCAAAATCCTCACTTTTGTTCGAACCGATTTCCCCCGCCTGAAATGTTTCCGAGGTGGGCCGCGAAGGCGCCGGGACCGGGTCCCCTTCCAACAAACAAGGAAACAAAAGCGCCAGTAGGAGCTCCCAATTCCACTGGAGCAATTCCAGCCCCTCCTCGTTGGCGAGTTTTTCCGCGTAGTGCTCCTCCGCGAGCTGGCTGGTATCGTCCATCGCTGTCGGGGGGAAAAGCATCTGGTGGAGCTCAAACACACCAAGGCGCCGGACCCCCTCCCCAACGTCGGGATCCTCGATATCCCCCTCCGGAGCGGGAAATGAGGTAAAAAGCGAGTTCGGAAGCGGTGCCGACGGCGTACAAGGGGGAACCACCAGTTCAACGCGAGTCCTACCTCGATAAAAGTCTACACTGGGATGAGAAGGTGACATGGGTGGTAAATACGCCCTTGTTCTACGACGTATCGTTATAGTAGAATTCACACACAGACAAAAAAAGTGAAAGATGATAAACTAGAGCATATTTTTTGATGAAATAGACAGGAAAAGTCAATTGAAAAAACTTGCCAAATAATATGCACTTCCGATTAAAATATGGTACACAGCAGCACACACACACACATTCATCTCAGGCTCAGTCCTCTCGCAGGATTTGAAAAGTATTCTTCCACACTATAGTTCCTGTAGTAGCCTCCAAAAAATGTAAATTCGGAGGATAACACCCAGAGATCACCTTGAAAAGGAACCCATGACAAAGTGAGGAAAAACAAGCTTCAAAGGTCATCCCCTCCAGGATGAAGAGGGTGTAAAGAAGGCAGCCGCACCACCGGTCGGGCAAGTGGGGTACCGCGGTAGCGTCCTTGGAAAAGCTCCACATCCCCGTACGCGGAGGGCAATGTGTTCAGTGGCTGTGGGGCCCCGCCAAGATTCTGAGCCGTCTTCCATTGAAATCCAAACTGAAGAATATCTTTCAAAAGCTTTTTCTCCTCCAACTCCTGCACCTCCGCGATCGTCCCAATGATCTTTTTATTGACAAACAAAACCGGCAAATCCTTCGTGGCGGCACGAGCCGCAATCTGATTCCGTAAGGATACAGCATAAATGTGGTGGTCCAGCTCCACGACCTTCAGCCGCGTACAATACCACGAAAAGTAGTGCCGCATGTGTCCCGTTTCCAGCGCCCGAGACCCTACCGTAAAGACGACCGCCCAGTACTTCCCGAGATAGTTCGCTAAGCTGTCGGAAAGAAAAGGACGGTGCGGGTGTGAGCTGGGTAAGACAGCGCGCGGCACATGCATCGGCCCTGGAAGTTTGTGCATTATCACTCTCGTTACACTTTTTAGTTTAAAAACACATATTTATGAACTATCTTAAAAGGAAATTTTTAAAGAGAAAGCGCATAAGGATGAAGAGCATCCCGTTAACCTCTGCATTACAACAGAAAGTTCATTATTGAGCAATCTATAGAGCTGAAATTAGAGCGAAAAAAAGGCGTCTAATCGTGTGTTTCTTTCATTCACAAAGCAACCCCTGTTAATTCCTAAAAAAAATTAAATGAATCCAAAACGGAAACTAAAAAAAAACAGTAAAAAAAAATTCTGTGAATATGCAAGGAAAAGTCATCCACTGTATTCCATTTCGGGAATATAATGTGGATAATTCCAAGCAATCTCGTCCCATCCCTATCATCGTTTTTTTGTGTGTATAGGTATGTGTGTAGCTTTCTACTGCACCCCGACTTTCGACTGAGGAAGAATAGATCGCGAAAAAGAGCGCATGGTGTGGAGGTCTCGCTTATCCAACCCCAGTTCCAGCGCGAGTTGGCGTGTGCGCAAAGGGAGAAATTCGTTATCCGGGCTCACCTCACGCATCATCGCCGAGCAGGACAAGCGGTGGGCCTCCCACTGCCGCCACTCCACGGCCTGTCCGCAGTCCAAACACAACACCACCTGATGTTTCTCCCGGTGCGGCTCCAGCAGTTCGAGGGGAATACTTTTATTGCACTCCGTACACCACCGCACCGCGCGAATGCAGGCATGCCAGTGCGCAAAAAAGCCGCTCGAGAGGACAAAGGACTTGCAGTTTCGGCACCACTGCTCCGGCGCACTCGTCATTGGGAGGCCTTTGACCATGTGGTAGTAAATCCGCGTCGGCTCGTGCACCATCCCGTCGCGATTGAGCACATCGCGCGTGTTTCGCAGCGTAAAGTCGGAAAAGGAGCGCATCCGGGCCAGCAAATTCCCCAGGTCGTTCGTATCCACCATCCGGCGGCCGTTCAGGTTGAGGTGGTAGGCATGGTCGTACATTAAAATACTCATCGGGCACACGCATTGGCGCGGGAAAAGAGGGAATTGGCGAATTTCGTACGTGATTTCGGGAAATTGCGGGTGAAAAGTCGTGATGCGCATGCGTGGGATGTCAAGGGTGCGCTGCTCATTGGGGAAGTGCACCGTGATGTGGTGGTCTTTGAGCTGCATGACCTCGCCAATCGCGCCGGCGGGGACGCCGTAAGAGGCCTGGCCATCCAAGATAAGTTGCACCTTCGATCCGGGCTCCACATTGAGGGAATCCACCAACCCGACGGAAACGGCGGTGCAGGACTGCACAAGAATGCTAACCAAAAAGTTCCCAATTTCGATCCGCTTCAGCTGACGATGACGGGACGGAAGAATTTTAACGCTGGGCTGCTTGGGGAAGCGCGGCATGAAGTATGGGATGGCTTTCGAGTTGGTGATGAGATCATCCCACGGCGTGATCGATTGGGGTCCCATCGAGTCCACGCTGCCAGGGCCGTCAAGCGCGTTGAGGAGAGGAGGCATCAAAAGGGCATCGTTCTCGTCCTCGGTGAAGGGCGCCGCGACACCAGCGCCTTTTTCGGCCGCATAGCCCTGCTTGAGGCTATCTTTGGCAGAAAGCTGCTCAAGCTCTTTGATATCAGCCGAGTTGAGATTGCCGTAAAGGGCCTTGAGTGTGAAGTCGTTCAACTTCTTTTCCTGCCCGTGAGTCCGCTCGAGTAAAATTTGCTTAGGGAACATCTCGTCCCATGAATCGAGCTGAAATAAATAATCCCCTGTATCGCTGGTTGGATGGACTGGAAGCCGCCAAAAATCCGCCGCGGCGAAAACGCGCAGCCCGCCAAACGCCTCTTGCGGCCGCCCTCGCTGGCGGCGACTCACCACATCCATCGAACGCAGCACCACGGAGGGAATGCGCTCGAGGGAATCCAAAATCAACACGTCGGTATTCCCCAGGCTTGGAAAACTTCCCGCGTAGGTCGACTCCATGAGCCGCATATGCCGCTCCAACGTCCCTTCGAGCTGCTCCTGCGAGGGAAGATCGTCCGCGCTCATTCGCAGGCCGATAAAATGGTGCAATAAATACCCATCCAGCCGGCTCGCGCGGCGGACGTCGGCGGAGACCAACGCCACCCGCCGCCCCAGCGTCGTCGCGCAGTGCTCGCCAAGGGCCTTGAGGATGGTGAGTTTGCCGGTGTTGAAGTGCCCACAAAAGAGGACGTTCTGCGAGGCCGCGAGGGCGGCCCGGACTTCGTGGGTGCTGTCCGCGCTGCTGACGTGGCGAAGCCGGCGGAAATCCCCAACAAAACCCCGCGTGTCGACCTGACGGACAAGATGGAAGAATCTTCGCGGGAGGGCCGGGGCGAACATCGCATCGGGTTCACAGCAAACGACCCGCCAACTCAGTTGTGGCACGCTGTGGGCTTCGGACTTGGGGAATACCCGAACCACTTCACGATGATTCCGCCCTCGAAAAGAACTTGGCGAGGACTAAAAGAAAAAAATCTGAGGGATCCGCGGTAATGCGCACTAGTATCGCTTTTTATTCCCACTAGTTTAACAATAAAAACGAAGAACGGAATGACAAAGATAAGAGGCGTACACACACTTTGAAATAATCGTCTAAACAGTGACAACCGTAAATGGGAAGATTGGTATGATATCGGGGTTTCTTTTTTTTTCATTTTCTTTCATTTCCCTTGGCAACTCGTCTCACATGCATACAAAACGCAAGTGTGAGACATGCTCAATACAATAAAAGTCGTTACGCATCTAATATCTTCATTATGGAGAGATTCCCAGTTTGAGATTCACACCGTTAACTTCGTCCTACCTCCCCCTTTCTTCTTAGAGTTTACCTTTTCCTGGAAAAGGAATTGAAAGAGCAAAAAGATATCAACTTTTTAACAAAATAGACTTCACTCGCCCTTTTCTCTTTCCAAAAAATGGTATTCATACTTTTCCTCTTCCAATGCCTTGGGATATTGAAGATGGTTTTAAAAAAAGGTGGAAGACGACTTTGTACGGCTCCTAAGAGCTGTGTATAAATCGTATCCGGACAGATATGCAAATCTACTCTGAGAATAAGGATAAAAGAAAAAAAATAGACTAAGAAATGCCCACGCGCCACGCACATCGTCTTCCTTTATGAGCACAAATGTTCCCGTTGGGGTAATTCAACCGCGTCTTTATCATTAAACACAGCAAGATGCTTCTTTCCCTGAAACCAGTAGGCGATTTTAAGCTGCTTCGTATCCAAGGAGTACGGATCCGGATCGTAGAAACCTACTAATTGGCTTTTGGAGCCTTCCGGGAGCATCAGCGCCGAATCCCGCACAAGACTCTGCAGGGCAACCGTCACGTCCAGCGAGGGAGCAATCCGGTCATCCCCCGCCGACTCGGCATCATCCAACGGAACAATACCCACTTTCCCAGCCTCCGCCCCTTCCTTCATGGCGGAACCCGCGGAAGATGAATCCATTCGCGAACTACGAGAGGAGAAAAAAGGCAATGCGTGCAGGAGGCCACCCCAAGAAACCCCCCGAGCGACCCCCGCGAAAAATGCGCTGTACCGGGCCGCGGAGGTGCCGCTCGGGCGAGCAGGCGACGTAGGCGCCGAGGAAACCGTCCCCAGCAGCCCATATCGCGCGTTAATAATCACCAAACCACTACAGCCACTCTCCTGCGTGCGAATCAACATCACCTTCTGCTCCAGGGCCTGCTGCTCCACGATGGCCTTCTCGCGCGCGAGGTCGATCGCGGCGATATTCTCCATGCGAAGCCTCCCAAGCCGCTCAGCCGTCTTTGCATTAAAGCGCAAGCGATACAAAAGTCTCGTCAGGCGGAATAAACAAAAGGGGGCGGAAAGCCACATCACAGAAGCGCTAATCGTAGGGGAGATCAGGACAACAATGGGGATGCTAATCCGATGTTTGCCGCGTTTGTAAAGCAGGGAAAGCTGGTTCGCCATCACGTGCGGCGAGCGGTGAAGGAAAAACGCGGAGGCCGCAAAAGGGTTCGGGGCGTAGGGGATGCTCGTTGAAAAGGATAACCCGTAGTGTTTTAACCACTTGTGGTAATACCACACCTCAAACCCCATCCGCGTTTCGCCGGAAAGAAGCGAGGTTGAGAGGAAGTACTGCACCTGGCCTTTTGCGGGGGAATAGGCAAGGTCGTGGGCCTCCCCGCCAAACTCCACCTCGGAGGAGATCGATCCCACCAACGACAAGGTATGCAGTCCGATATACAAGGCCAGGTATTGCGAGGAACCTTCCCACGAACGCATCAACACACTCTGCCAATAGCCATTTTCCCTCAAACACCAGGTAATCGTGTTGTTGAGTTCGGTAATCGGGGAGAGCTTCCGCGTGAGGGAGAGCTGTAATTTTTGCAGAAACCGCGCACCATCAAGAAAGGTGAGTTTGGTCCGCAAGCTCCACAGCGGGCTCAGCGCGCGTTCCTTCCCAAAGGATATTTCGAGCCCCTTCATGCGGGTCTTCACGTCGATCAGGTAAGTTGTAATGCAATCTCGTTTATACATCGAGGTCGCCCCGACGGTGAGCTCCGCGATCTTTTTACGCGCACTCGCCTGAGTACTAAACACCAAATTCAGCTTGGGCGATACCGCGTGCTCGAAGGAATGCTTGAAAAGTATACTTTGCGGGAGGGTAGTCAGCAGGAGGGCGTTCATCGTCGAAATTCGCCGCGGATCGGGTTGGGGGACCTGACGCGGCAACGGCGGAGGACGCTCACCGGTGTGGAGAGAGCTCGATTGAATTTTTTCCCGAAGGCGGTGCTGGAGCTCGGCGGATGGGATTAAAACAATCTGTCGCTTGCCGTCTATTTCCACCTCAAGAGCCATCATTTGCGCCTGAATCGTCTCGGGGGATTCGTTTTCCTCCGCGGACGCCGGCTTGGGGGAGGGGATGGAAGGGGAGGGAGGCGCCGACGTCGTCCTCGGCGCTTCTCCGACGTTTGACGCGTCGGTGGATGGCGTCGGCGCGCGAGGTTCGGTCGATTGGCCCTCGTCATTCGCGTTAGGAGCGGCCGGTAGAGCGGCCGATGAAGTCAAAGACGAGGATGGACCCGGCAAACTCATCGAGGGACGAAAAAAAAAATGAGCGATAGAGTAGTTGACCGTAATAGCGGAGGATGCGGAGAGCATTTTGGCTGTGTTCATCAATTCCGCCTCCCGTTCGAGGGACTGAACGTAGTGAATCACCTCATCCCGAGTGGCCCAGCCCTCGGGCACCAACGCCAGACGGTCCGGGCCTTTGATCCCCACCGCGTCGTACGCCGCGCGCTTTTTCACGTCCGACAGAACCGAATAGGCCTCTTGGAGTTCCTGAAATCGGGCATTCATCGCGTTCTGGATGGCCTTTGACTGGGTGGTGTACATATCGGTGTGATAATGCTGGCTAAGCTTCAAAAAAGCACGGCGAATCTCCTGTTGAGAGGCGTTCTTTCTCACCCCCAGGCGCATGTAATAGGCACTGGTATCCGACCTTCGGTTCAGTTGGTATCCCGACCGCTGCTGTGGTTCGTCGTCATCGCCGTCAAGGAGTTTGGATTCGCGATCTTCAAAGGAAGTCATACCTTAATGAGTTCGGAATGGTTGGTTGCCCTTTCCAAAGGGAGGAGGAGGGGAGGTGGGGACAACGAAGGTAACAAATGGTGAACCTGTATGGAATACTTATTAATTTAGATGAGATTTCCTTGAGACACGTAAGCTACCAGGCTCGCCCCACGTAAGTCTATAAATGTTTCCTCTATATAGTAAAAGGTTCTTGAAGAACATATAGGAAGGAAAAGGATAATAAACATTTCAAAAAGATTCACTGCGCGTGCCATTCGTTGAGAACAAATACCAACCTTGAAAATGGGTAATCATACACATAACGTTTAGTCATGAGAATAAAGAAGGCAACAAATAGAATATATATATATATATATATATATATCCAACGCACAATTTTATGTTTCTGGAGTTTAAAATGCTAGAATTGTGACGTAATTATTCTTGAATCCTCAAACGTCGTAATCAAAACGATAGCGATCCTTAGAATACTACCTTGTCTACGATACAGTTAAAGTGATGAAGATAGTTCTCACAATTAAAAAATAGGCAATAAAAACAAATATAGCAGGAAACGTTAATTATTTTAAAAAATGTGAAACATTATTAATGGAAATCATATAAAGAAAGATGTGATTATGATATGAAGTATAGGAAATAATAATTTGAAAAAAAAATGAGTGAACTATGTCATACCTCAGTAAGCTACCGAGCTAAACCAATGATCATCTTCAGGCGATCTAAATACCATTCTTGACGCGAAAACAGAGGCACGTCATCACTGACATGGGTATTGTTGCCATTAACCGACTGAGAATTCATTAAAAGCACACGAATTACTTGCTGCATCCCACAGTAAGGTTTCCCCATGACGTAATAATATGTGTAAACGGCGTTAAGGGAAAAATTAGCGAGTGCGGTGGATGACCTTTCCGTGTTGATCACACAATCTACTTTGTCTTTGTGGTGTGAAAAATTCCACGATCGGCTATTTGCATCCGCCGTGGTAGCCATCTCTAGCAATTCCATCGGTGACGCGCAGGACAAACCATGAAGTCTGAACCTTGGGGACTTCTTCAAAGCTTTAAAAGCAGTCTTTTTTTTGCCTTTAGGTGAAGATAAAAATTCAGAAAAAGCAGTCACCACGTACGCGCAGACCTCCTCTTCCAGTTTGCGCAAAGATTCTGCGAGGGCGATCCAGAGAAGCCATACCGCGAGCTCGTCAAGATCCTCCGGGGATGGAAGGGATGGGCCCTCGGGATGGGTAGAGTTCGCCTCACGAGCGGAAGAGGCCGCTGAATCCCAGAGCGAGCGTAGAAGATCCAATGAAAAGGTGAGGAATGTGGCCTCCGGAAATTGAAAGAGCGTTCGTAAGAGTAGACGCGCCTGAGAGGGTGTGAGAACGTGCGCGCATCTCTGGCTCGGGCTCTTGCTTCGATCCCCATCCCAACCAAAAGGCTGTGTGGTAGACTCCTCAGAGATAAAAAAGCATTTATTCGTCATTGATTTTATCCAAGGCTCAAGGAGACATACCTGAGTTCGCACTGCATGCCATCGCTGTAAAGTACCCTCATCGTCATTACCATCCTTCTCCGTGAATTCAGGGCTCTCGCTTGGCGAGTCCAGAAGTCTTTCGCGGATATACGCATAATAACTGCTCAAACTAGAATAATGAGGGCTGTGTTTTTCCCATCTTGTCGGACATCCTGAAGGATCGTCGCGATATTCATCAAACGTTTGTATCGTCCGCATCCAGTCCTCCTCCACAAGACGCTGAAAGCGCTGGCCTACGGTGCACAAACATTTCCAGAGCGCCTCCAAGCACCAATCGCCGTAGGAGGAAACGAACAGACGCACGTTTGTCGAAATCATTTCATTCCCCTGATCCACACAAACCGTCGTGTTTAACATCCCCTCCCGGACAGAACTACGAAGTGCAGGACAGGCTCGATCCCAAAGCCGTTTTTGAGATCGCCGCAAGGCGACGCTCTGAGCATCCGGCCTCTGAAGAGCCAAAGATCGATATAAAGAATTGTGCGTTCTATTTCTATGAAAGGCATGCTTCAGAGCAGTTTTGAAATTAATCGATTCCACATGGGGAGTGGCTCCATGCGAAAGTTTGGGAAGAACCTCCGCCATGAGCGAAAACGCCTCCGACAAAACGAAAACGAGGTAGTGCAGGGCGAAGTCGATCTGTAAGTGGTTAAAACAGGCATCAATATACGGTGACCTACCCCACTCGATGTTCGGCCACATCGCGGATGATGTTGTGGGTGCGTTTGGATGTGCCTCATTCTGGTGTCTAAAAAAAAGCTGCACGCTGGGCTGCTGCTCGAACACATCGCCTGCCTGGGGCCACAAGACCTTCCGAGTTTGCTGCCAAATAAAAAAACTCATCACCTGCAGAGAACCAAGTGAGGAAAAGGTCCCACTCCGATCCTGCCCGACACTTGTCGGCACCCCACACACACAAAAAATGCACGGAACGAGCAAATTTCCAAAACTCACACTTTCAGACGAGGATGAATGGTGAATGGATGAAATAAAGATGTCCAACATCGTCTCCAAATACTCCTGTGATATTTCCGCACTTTGCGTTATCTCGCAAAACTGAAAGCCCAACAGTTGTTCAAATTTCGCCGCCTCGGCATCTGCGGCATGCAAAAAGTTCTGCAAAATGGAAAGAAAAGGATACGCTGAGGCGACATCCCATAACGGGAAATAGTTTGGTGGATAAACGTTAACGTAGTGGATCTCACCACGACGAGAGGTTTCTGGAAAAGGATTATCATCATGACGCCCAGTGAGCGGGGAGGGGGAACTGGGTGTGGAAAAGATATCCCGCGGTGAATTATCCACCGCGCATAATGAATCCACGAGGCCACCCCACTTCGCGCAAAAAGTGATCAAGGCAGGCATGCAAAGGCTCTGATGCGATACCGATACGTTCAATGGGGTGGTGGTGGAAATACTTAAGATAGTGTCCTTTTTGTTGAGCTTAGCGAATTTGTTGTGAATATGGCATGTACATTTATGAAATAAACTGAGAAACACCGAAACAGGGAGAGCCTGAATTGGAAAAGGTGATACCTCGCCTAATTTATGGCCGGATCCCGAAGTTGTTTTATCCACTAATCCACGAAAGCAGCATTCAACCTCATGCGGTTTATTATAGGAGGGACTTTCTGCTTGTAGCTTCATCAATGTGGTCATATTCAAGAAAAGGAAAATCAAGGAGGTATCGAAGTCTACAAGCCTCAGGTAGCGAGACCAAGAATTCAGTAGTAAATCTTCTAATAGGGTACTTTCCGTGAAAAAACGACGTGCGGGTTTGTTAGTCGTGGGCAAAGAAGGGAATAAGCTGGAGGTCAAGTTATCCCCCTCCACAGGCTTAACAGTTGAAAACAAGCTGTCTGGGGATGCGCGCGCTTGTATAGGATTCGAACACCACAAATCATCAAGATTGGCATGCCCTCGATTGTAGCTTTTGGCGGTCTTCAGCATAAAATCGTAGTGAGACCTAAATTCTCTTTGTAGTTCATTGATAAAGCCTTCATGGAGAGTCGAGGAATGCGACAGTCTAGCAATCCATTCCTGCCAGGCAAGAACAAATGCGGTCAGAAAACAATGCGAGGGCGTATAGCAGACGTCATCTCCGGTGCTTTCACTGCATCTCGTGCTGACAATGTCACCCTGTTCGTTCACTTTTTTGTAATATGCATCGGCTAAAAACAAATATCGGACAGAGGTGGAAAGTAAAATCCGTTTCAGCCGAAAAAGTGCTTCTAGCGGAAGAACGTCTTGGGGAGGAAGCTCATGGGGGCTTAGGTGTGGAAAATGGTGCTCGTCGCTTTGGCGACCGTTAAAGCGTTCCATCCACATCACCAAATCCATCATTTGGATCCAAATCTTCTCATCGTCTCCGTTCACAAAACGTAAATAAACCTCTAGTGAAGGGGATATGAAGTCAAAAAAATCGGCGACCGTTCCAGCGACTCTGAACACGGTAGAACTCATGGCCTCGAACGCACCAAAGTGACGGGTATCACTATCATTATTGTTTGAACCCTGCGACGCAGGAAAGGCTGAAAATACAGTCCATTGCGAAATTAAATGGTGAACCATGGATAGCAGTAATTTTAATAATTCACGATCAAAATGTTGATTGGGAACTTTAGGGTTCGCAGTCTGACCGAAATGCTGTTCATTTTCCGCTTCAGAGATACCATCAAAACTGCTCAATATGGAAGAAATATTTATTGCTGGAGGCCAACCCCATCCTTCACGGGCCACACGAACAGCTTCTTGAACCACAGGAAGTAGAAGTTGTAGGAAACTCAAAATGGTCGGTAAATTGGACAACGAAGAGTGTGAGAATGACATAGAAGAAATGTCCCCTTCCCTTAGGAATACTGAAGATGGAAGATGGCAAAGCAGAGGGATGTGCGCGAGAAAAAAACTGACAATGCGCAGAAAACGAGCCGCGGTCGCCATCCCAAGTGATTCGCTCCAAGGAGCCGCCGATAAAACTTGCCGCTGGAAGCTCCATTGAGCCTCCCAACATTCATGGAGTGTCCGGCGCGCTAGATCAAGTGGCAATAGAGGGCCTAAACGAAGATGCAGCTCCCACCACAGCCACGCGTTGTTTAGCGCAATCAACAATTCGTCCATTGTTGACCGCACAATCCTAGAGCCCTGCCCATCCATCCTCTTTGCAGTGAAATATTGCGATAGACAAGGCGGTGCAAAGTGAACCTCAATAGCCTTTCGAATGTCATCCGCACCAGAGATGAAATCGGCATCCAGAAAAGCGAGAAGTACGGCGCACACCTGCAATCGATAAAGTCTTGTCGAGTGCGAGAAAGTAGTAGGAGGTAGTGGTGCAGAGTTATCATAGCTGGAAAGGGTACCCCCGTGCGAAGTGGATGTTCCAAAAGATTTGTGTGAACTTGTCAGCCAGACTAACAGGCAACGAATTAGAGTTTCGCTGATTGGCATCAAGTGCGTATGAGCCTTGCAAATGTCTTTTTCCGACACAACGAACTCTTTCGTCCACTCTAGTGTGCCCTCTGAGAAACTGTCGTCTTCATTTATTACAGGGTTCTTGGATGAATCTTGCATGAATGCAAGACGCCCCTCTATTTCAGTGAACATGACTCCCAATGTTTCCCCTGAAAAATGAGGAACAAAAGTGGAATTTTCTTTCACAAGTACCTCCTTCTTAAGTTGTAATAACATCAGTGTCATACAGTCCTGCGGACTTAAAAAGCAAGCATTTCCTTTGACCACCTCTACCAACCGTTGCGCCACGGCTTCACTATGATAAAAGGGATACTCCGCGATCAAAAAGCTCAGCGCAGCGTTTGCGAGAAAAGGCGCCACTGCAAGACGTGCTTGGAGCCGATTTTCCATAGATAGAGCCCCATGCTTTGATGCACAATCGTTAAGTCTTGAGAAGAGGTAAGCATCGGTAATACGTGGAAACGACGAGTATCTTAGGTTGGCTAAAGAATAACCCAATCGTGCGAACATCAATCAAACAAAGGACTATGCTGTTATCACACGCATACATAACTATCAACTCATGTATAGGCACCTCCTTCACCCTCCTCTAGATGTTTAAATATAAAGTAAGTCCTTGCTACCACCTGTAGGATATTAAACGCCGTAAAGATGAAAAAGCCACAGTAGGGCACCACCAAATCAATTTAGGTTTTGTAGTTAACTATGTGCATGTAAGTGGGTGTACGGCTACAACTAAGAATTTTTTCAAAATAAAGCGACAAATTTATCTAAAGGTATTTGAATAGCATAAAAACAAATAGCTATTTAACTTTGTTCAAACGCTTATGTATATATTTATTGTAGCTACAGAAAAAAGGTTAATTATTATTATACGATTTAGGTTAACAATGCTGTTGCAATTTATTGTGATAAGGAAAAAAGGAAGCTTATTCAAGCTCAACCAATTCGAAGTTTCTTATTGTAATTGTCCTCATTGTCATCAGGGAGAGCGTTAGCAGATCCCCTGGCTAACTGCTCATTGCTAGGTCCCACATCATTGGTCTCCGTCGCTGATTCATTGCCGTCACCAATCTGGAGTTCATCCAGCATTTCTTCTAAGCTAATTTGCGGTATCTCCTCATCGTCCTCATCCTCTTCTTTGCTAACACAAACGCCCTCATGACCGTACTGTGCACCAGCCTCGTTGTCCGCTTGGTGACGCCTCACGATCGGATCCATCTCGCTTTCCATCTTCCTGTAGATGTTGATATCCTTGCGGAGCTCCTTATTCCACTCAATCTCATCTTCGAACTCAGCCTCATCATCGTTGGCATCGTCCTTGTGATTGTCGTGGCGCGTGACGCGCGAGGAAACGCCATGAGAATTCGCAACCCCGCCTGGATGCCGTGGGGCATTCATAGTAGTACGATCCCCTTGAGAGGTGACGATATCAAGTTTCTTCAGCTTCCACAGCCGGCGATTGCGGTGGCGTCCTTGCGATGGGAAAAATTTGTGCACCAAAACCACATCCTGCAGCTCCTCAGGCCGGTAACGGCCGTCGTCTAAGTCCTCATTCGAAATATTTCGAGAGCTAAGGAGGTACCCCTTCACGAGGTCGCCCGGGTTGAGAATACCTCCGAGATGGGACTGCACGACCCACTCCCGCCCTTTCCCGATCTCAGATGACAAGCACACCGTCACTAAGCCAAGCTGGAAAATCCCGTTGGTGTGGGCCATGGGGCTGCATTCTAAGACGTAAAACTCGGACATCTCGCGGGTCGTCAAAAGAGAAGGAAAGGGCTTCTTCCAATACAAAGAGCCCGTGACCTCGCCCGCACGCAGGGTTTTGGGATCAAAGAAGACAATGGAGCTGTAAACCTTGTGAACCAAAACTAAGGGTCCCATGCCTCCCATTGATTTCAAATAAAAATCCTTGTACGGTAGAAGCACGAGATCGCCTCGACATATCGGGGCGATATCCAGAGAGTAGGTGTAGTGCTGCACGGCGGTGTTGTTTTTGGAATCATGCGAGACTAATTGCACCGCATCACGACGCGTTACGGGGGCCATGCGGTGTAAAAACTCGATGAAGTTCAGAGCGTGGCTTTTGTGGCCAAAATAGAAATCCAACCCGTCTGGTTGATTTTCAATGCGCGTGAAGTTTTCGTGTAAGCGCTTTTTGAGGATAACCTGCTCTAAATACAGAAAAGTTTTTTTGTGGCTCACCTTTTGCCGAAGCTGAATGCATGCATCCCACTGAGGCTGGCCAGTGGCGACCTTCTGACAGGTCGGGCACTGCTGCCAATTCACAACATACTGGATCTGGCATGACTGCTGGATCACAATATTACTGAGAACCTCCTTTTGTACCGTGAGATTAACCAAAATGCGCTTGCTGTGTGGCTCCGACCACATGAATTTTGCATCCACAAGCCGAGCCTTATTAGCGGAGCTGCTATTGACACCTCCACCGGTGGTGTTTTTGATCCCCTTGATACGCTTTAAGCAAATTGTGAGCAGCTCACGACTTTCAAAGTCTGCGCGAGCCCAGTAATTCGGTGGCTGCATGTAGCGCTGACATTCAGGGCAATAAATCAGAATATATTCTTTTTGGATATCATCAACGATATCGACATGCGCACGAAGGCAATTGGGACACATGTTACTGGGGTTGCTGTCGATGAGGAGTCCACATATACAGCAGTGAATCTTGGGAATAAATGATTCATGCCTTTGATCACCTTCAAGGTCCATAGTCTTTGAATTGTAGTGTTATTTTTTCTCTCCAGAGACCTTCCTGAAATAGCTTTGTTAGAAAGTTTATATGAGATAATTTTTTAATGTGAATTAAACAATTTACTGTCTTCACAGCTAATAGCTTCACTCAATAACAAAAATGAAACAACAACGAGAAATCCATCTTTCCACACATATTAAAAAGATAGAGTCACTCACTACTTGTTAATTCAATACTTAAATACCAAATATGGCAGCTTTTGTAATAATATGATTTTTACATAGCAATGAACTGGTAAATATCGAATGTAGAGCGTCCTAAAAGAAAAGAACAATTTCACCGGGTCTTTTTTTTTCAGGTTGCAATGATGAACGAGCTATCCTGCGATACACTGGTGCACCGCTTTAATGTTTTCAAGATATTTCTTGAATTGTTCTGAGTTTTCTTGTAAACAAGCAGAATGGTAAAAATACATAACAGCTGTAGCATCTATTATTGAAGCAGTAATGATGATAGGGAAAGGTACTAATATGTAGCATAAAAAGCTGTAAGGTTGTATCCGAGGGTATAAAAAGACAAGACAATGTGTTTGTTGATTGTGACACAGAGCCCAAGGTATCTTAAACGGAAAAAACTCGATAATAATAACTACAAAAAGTTGCATAATATCTGCACCTATCGTAAGGTGGTGTTAACATCCTACAGCAATGAAGAATTTGGTGTTTTTCCCTTTCCTGAAGAGATAATTTTGAGATCTATGCGAAGTATAAAAACATTTAAAAAACAGCTGTTCGCCCTCAAGGCACCCACACTGATAGGGTATCTTCTAAACCACGAAATATTACTATGTCTTGCAATAAATATGGAGAAATCTATTTTATTGCATTTCAACTTTTCCAGGAGTATGTATTCAGCGGTAAAGTGTAGAATAGGATATCAAGGATTCATAATTTACTTCAGTTAAATAACTAGTAAAGAATTGGAATCTAATCTACACTACGTCATAAAAAGCAGGAGAGAATGATTAAGAATATTTTTCATGAACAATCCTGCTGCTGTATCATAGACAATAAAAATAAGCCAATATGTTTTCAAGTATATAGTATGACAGCAATCCTTTAAATGGAAAATGCGAATGGTGGAATTAAAATATTTGATATAATGATAATAGTAAAAAATTGAAGATGGTTTTGGCACTAAAAAAATAGTCCAAGAAAAAGAGGTTGCTATCACTATTTTATTTGTAGGCATAGCTAAGAGCAAATACACTGTCGATAATTAATACTTTATCTAGTAATAATCGAGTGAGAATCCTTCTAAGGACGTATAGGAACATTGGTTACAAAGAATTCGTTCAGAATGTCTTTGACTTTCAAAATCGATTCATCTAGTAACCGTATTTTCATTTTAAAAATGATAGTATGCCCGTTACTTCATGTGATTTCCAACAAATACAAGTTGGATAGACTCTAATGATCGGGTATAAATAAATTAACACCTGAAATAATGACGATAGATACTGCCATACTGAAAATCTTTAGTCAGGTAAGTAAATTTGTCGACAGCAATTAGATCTTCAAGTTGAAATAAATGTCAATGCCATCAACCATATATAGATTAGATCGATAGTGTACTCAGAAATATCATTTAAATAATTTTTTTTCCAGGTATTATTTCGTGTCACGAGATCCAATAAACCTGTAGCTTTAAGTTTTTCTCAACATTAAGAACTTCTTTTTTAGATACCTTAGTAAATCTATTGAATGGATTCGTGATGCTATTATATATTTAAGAATAATATTCTGCATCATTTTCTTGTACTTACTTAGACATTAGAAATGCCTTATTTTTACATCACATTTTAAAATTTTACACTAATTCTTTCAAGAAATAGTGTAATTTGGTCATACTGCTCCTAGGCCCTTTTCAGTAACACATTTAGGTATATTAGAAGTTTAATATTTTTTTAAACTTTTATTATAGATAAAAACTTATCTGCATGCTTCTTGTATATTTTATAAAATTTTGGAAATCTCAAGACCTTATCCGAACCATGAAGTTACAAATCCAGATATTCACAAACCAATAATTTTTCTGCATGGTATAACTGTGAAATTATTTATATACTTAAATGGATATAATATTCATTAAATTAGCATACTTTATTGTACCAAATGTAAAAGTACCAGGGTTATCACTACGCATACGGAAGTTTAAAAAATTAAGGACTAAATTACAGAATTTTCACATTTCAAAAAAATCACAGCGCGTAGCAACTCAGCACCATATAAGCAAGAAGAATAAAATAATCATGCTGCCTTTTTGTTGTTGTTATTAATTTGATAAATCTACCTTTGAAAATATATATAACTTGTTTGGTAGTAGAATCGATATTCTTTGATAAAATATCAAAGATAAAAATTCAAAAAAAAAGTAATGCTAAGAAAATGATTGTGAGAAGGAAAAAATATATAATAAAAAACTGATAAAATACATAAATCATTTTTAAATGCACAACAACAAAAGCAACATGTACGTGGCAACAATAAGCAATAGTATTTACCCTGTCTTATCCTCTAGTTTGCTCCCTTTTGTAAAAATATTTATATATCGATAATAACAGTACATCTAAACAAATGTATAGACTATAAAGAAAAAGAAAACTTTTATATACTAGTTTATAATGTACTTTCCTCAGAAAAAAACACCCGGTGTATACGCAATACAAACAGCGTTTGGTTTGCAGCCTAAAATAAAATTGTATAAGCACAATATTTTAATAATCATTAATAGCAAAATGTTTAATATGTTTCGCTATTTTTAATTATCTTCATTTTATGCGACAATGTAGCACTAATGAAACAGGTTTATAAGTCAAAAGGGAAACTATAGAACCATAAAATAAATTGTATTGTTGCACAAGAGATAAAGCTATAAGCAAGTAATGAAACAAACCAAATTCAATATTTCAAGAAGGATGTTCACTACCCAATGAAGAAAAACTTGAGTTAAATCCATATGTCTCCAGCCCATCGAGAAGAGGTGTCATTCGCTCAGAAATAACAGATATTGGTGTTCCGACAACTTTAGCATCTTTTAATGTTTGAAGAAGGGACTCATCAGCTTCAATTTGAGATATTCCAGATTGCCGAACATAATCGCGAACTGTATTACGCCATAACTCTGCAGTGGGTGATAAAACATAACTGGATGATATAGATAAGGAGTCAACAGGGTCATTTGGTGGTTTAGAGTTTTCCACAGAAGTTAAAATATGTTCGGCCTCCTCATCTAGTTCAGAAGAAATTTGATGAGGTCTGTGTAATTCCATTGATTTCGTTGAAATTAAAATACGACAATCCTGACAATGAATTCCTTTGCAATGCTCGTTAGTGCAAAACATATCATTACAAGAATACTGTTGAATACGAAAAGCCTGCTCAAGACGACCATCCGTGTATATAGTTTTAAAGAACGGTATCCAACTGTTATGACAACGGACCGTCACTTTATTTCCGTAACGTGCAAAAAAAATAGAGTCTTTTATTCTCTTATGAATTTCCCCCCTTGGTAGTTTCTCCTTAATTAATATTTCCGTTAGTCGCTGAAAAAAGTTCAAACGATGTCGGACAGGCCCGGCTTCATGAAGATGAAATTGATTACACGCAAATTCCTGGTAGCATTTATGATCCGCTAAATGCAAATTACAAAAGGCACCTTTTGGGTCACGCGGAATTTTTCTCTGAGAAGGTGATTGAGAGCCTTTAATCCGACTCTGGGAATCAAGGAGGCATAGAAGCTCAGTTAGACAACTACGATCATTGTTATTTAATACATTAAAAAGGTGAGTAGAAAGTATATGCCGTGCTTCCTGTGCATATTTAGATGCCTCAGAACCATTTTCTTCATGCTCGATAAAAACTTTCTGCAAAGTATCATAAGCCTTAATCCAAGCAAATGCCAAAGCAGATGTCTCACTTTGTGCAAAAAGATGCAACACAGTGACTAAAAGGCCCACAGTTGGTTCGAATACATCTGCAATTTTAGACGGAAGAAATGATATTACATTTCCCAGAATTGGTACATCATTCTCATCCCTGCGTGACAAATAAGAACGAAAGTCAAGACCCATATCTAATATATGTAAGTTATTCGGAGTCGATAACGTTAAATGAGGTCTTGAAGGAGCTCTAGACATTTCCACTAGTTTCATACAAATGGCTAAATAAATAAATATATATATATATGTATATGATTATATATTAAATAAAAATATTAGAGAAATAACGTAAAAAAAATGATTTTTCTGTATTTCATGATAAAATATTGATCATGGATATGCTTTTTTTTTATAATGATAAATTTTTGCAATTACTTTTTGTCATTTTGATCATACTCAATTATAAATACTTTAAGTTACCACTCCTTCGTTCATGCTCAATATGTATATTCCGCTCCTGTAAGCAGCGTGTTAACTCGTGAATCTCACTCTGAAAAAGACATGAGGACAAGATTACTGGTTGAAGATCACTTTTGCCAGTTGATTGAATATTATCAAGGTATTGTTCTATAGTGTCGTGTAAATCTTTTAGAGCTAAAGATGTCATCGGAATTGGCAAATTCAATTTTATTCTAATTATTCTTGGAAAATTAATGCGCTACAAGAAAAAAAAAAGAAAAACAACTGTGCAGGATTCTAGGCGATTATTGTCAATAAGGAAAAAAAATCCATTTACAAAAACGTATGAATAAGTATAACCCCTTGAGACGTTTGTAGAAGAAAATCAACAGAAAGTATTAAAAAAAAAAAGGAACTATTCAAACCTATTGCCACCTAAAATCACTATAAATACAAAGGCCCCGCCGGCACGCGCTTCATTTGAAAGCGGAAATGAAACTATGTATATCGCAAAGGCCCCCACAGCCACATTAAGCACGACTAAAGGGTAGGGCGGTTTTTATAATCAATTATAAAATAACGATAGAGTAATTAGAATATTATCATTAATATATATATATTTTTTTTCTATAATTTCAAAAGGCCATTTGATCACCGGGTCCATCAGATAAAAAAGTC